GGTAGTTTGAAGTCAGAAGTCAACTGCCGGTTAATTGACTCCTTTCACCATGTGGAGGTAAGTCTATCGCACACTCAGTGATAAATAATAATAAATTGGGAAAAAACTGTTAGCCTTTTTTATTTCAAAATCCTGGTGATAATTTTGCAAAATACTTTGTTCCCTTCTGTCATTTTAACAGACTATTCGGTGTTTCAAATAATCTCTTTGATATTCACTTTAAACATGGACTTATTTTCTATAGTTGATATAGTAACAAATTTTACCTCCCCTTCTTTACTTTAACATTTTGATAATGATGACACCAACACTAAAAAGTAATTTAAAATATTTCTCAATGTTTTTTTTTCATATGTAATCGATTCCCTAGATTTCTTTTCTGACATTTGGGTCTAAAATACTCACTTACCTGTAAAAAATATTCACTTCTTAGATTGAGCTTTGTTTGTGTGTATTTATAGATTTAATTTCAATTTCTGGGTATAGAATGCCAACTAAGAATATATTACGAAATCTTTAAAATGTCATGACATCTCATTTGTTCACTTTCTTTGTGTTCACTTTGGTGTCCACTGTGCATCTTTTCTCAGCGCAACAGCAAATTGTTGCAGTTACTTTCGTAGACCGTGAAGATGTGAACGCTACTAAATAGTTTAAAAGAATCATTATTTGTCGTAATTTTCATTTTTATCTAACTAAGGATGGAAGGATTTCTAGAGAAAAGGATTTAAAACTAAACTTCCATTGAATATTATGCAAACCCTGACGCTAACCAGCGTCTGCAAATCAGGAAGACGAAGGAGATGTGGACAGAATTCATAATTACTCAGGTCTTATAAGTGTATAAATAAATTAGCTGAATAAAATGTAATAATTTTGCCTAAATTAAATCAAATTGACTTTGCATTTCCTAAGAATCATACTTTATTTTTGTTCGAGCAGATGAGAGAGCAGGGGATAGCAGCTCCAATTCGGACGCAGACGTGGAGAGAGGGGGGAAGAGCTTTTCAGCCGACGTGACTCCTGTCCAATCACCCGGCGGAGACGGTGCTACACCCTCTCTCATCGGATCCGGCATGTCATCCACTTCTCCGAGCAGCACTCCCTCGTCAACACTGCGTCTTTCATCCTCTTGTCCTCTCTCCGAAACCATGTCCTGGGCGATTAGCGATCGCAGTCTTCAGGTTAGCGCTCCATTTTTTCCTTCCTCGAGGTCGCCGATGCGTGCTCATTCGAGTCTTAAATCGGGAATGTCTCGAAGTCTTAAATCGGGAGTTAGATTCTCATAGGGTCGATTTGACGTTCTGGTTAAAACTGGCTAACAGAGTGGCTTTAAACTTTCCCTTTAATTTCCAAGGTTAGTGTTGGAAAACATTTCGCTTCATTATAAAATTTATAGCATGGTAAATACAATTCAAAGTAAGCATTGTCTAATAATAATGGTAGGCACTTCTCTGCCAACGATTTAAACTGATTGTAATTAATAGTCCTCTATTTTACACCGAATGAGTTGTACATTTTCTAGATGATCCATTAACCACCGAAATATTCCAATGAGTCAGTCCCATTCCGTTTAAAGGTGGCCTTTAGGAGTTCCCTTGGTCGTTTGACATTTTGTCTCCAAATACTTTTAGTTAAATTTTCTTGTTAATTTGCTTTCTTCCCTTCGGATACTGCTTTAATAAACCATTTATACACCCCTACTTTAAAATAAAGTCTATTAGAAGTCCGCTTACGACTGGTCATTACCTTGAAAGAAGCTTCTTTAGAAAGAGGGGGTTAAATGATTTTGCACCTTTAATAAATTTTCCCAAATCTCTCTGCTTGCCTCTCTTTGCTTATCTGTCCATTAAATTGGGTGGAATTAACACCGAGCTGAGAGAAACTGGTCGTCACGAATTCCTGAAATGAAGAGTTGATTTGTACTCACTTTGGTCGAAAATATCCGCAAAAACGCATTTCCTCTATTAAGTGCACAACCTGCTTCATATTAAGGAATTTTCGCATTTGAAATATCATTATAAAACACCGTTGATTTGTCCTTATTGGGATTGCTTGTTTTGGCAAAGTGCTGTCTCATGATGCTTTTAAGTGATTTATCACTTGTTGTAGCATTGCAATGCCGACCAAACTACCCCTGGCGATTGAAATAGCCAACTGTTTGCAAGTCTTACAAAAGCCAAAAGGTGATTGAGCCACCGACTGCCTCAAAATTCTTTAATGTCCTTCCTTTATCAGTTTATTAAGGCCCTTTTGAATTGGTTTGACTCAGTTTGTGCACAATTCTCGAAATGAGCAGGAAACGCCAACATCAAATCAGAGATTGAAACTGAGTTGAGAAAGCGAAGAAAATTCAAATTCCATGAGGAGTAGGTGGCTTAAATAGGCCACCTTGATTTTATGATGTGGCAATTTCGACAAGAATTTCACGAGTTCTACCTCATATGGTGCTCTATGCGACTCCACTGTATGAACACGCAGATTTGAATTTATTTCTGCAGATGAGGAATTTTGTAGCTTGAGAATGGGGCAGATAAAGCTAGATTTTTTCTCAATCAATGAATGCCTGTTTTAATTCAGCGGTATAAAAATGAAATTCGTTGGATTCAAGTTTTGGCAGAAACATTGTATTTTTTGCAGTGATTGGTAACGCGAAAGACTACCAGTCAAACACACTTTAAAATCTTGTTCTATCATCTGAGTTCAAAATGCTTAAAATACTTTAGAACGTGTTGCTGAATCCGGTCCAACTTCAAGTTTCTTCCAAGAATATGAATTGAAGTTGGGGATTTTAGATTCTAAACAGACGAAGAAGATTTCCAAGTTTGAAAATTGCCGATCTGCTACGTCTAATCCTTTTCATATATTTCGTTTATTTTCGTTTTATAAGCCTTCGAATTTCAGTTGAATTTGCCGGTTTTGACTTACATTATACAGGTTCTTATAACTTTTTATATTCCAACGAAATCGAATTTCGAGGCTATTTAAAAATTAGGTGCATCCATAGTCTCATTTTTCCATGTATTTCCCTCTTTAAAGCTACAGAGGGAAGCAGAGAAATCCAATTTCTAGGTCTTTACTAATAGTTTTCTCCAACAGAAGTCTATTGACCTCTGCATTGACCTCTTCGCAATTAGGTAGACTGTCAAATGGAGTTTTTTCCAAGATATGTGCAAAAGCCAGCAGCAATGTACACTTTCCTCTGCAATCAGGATATTCCTCGAGCCGCCTATGCTCGACACACCCTTCTGCATTCAGAGGCAATTGTGCAGGCTGACTATTGGCTGGAGCAACGCTGTCCTCTCGCCTACCTCGGATGTCCGTTCTCTGTCGTACGTCTGCGACCTAATAGCACCTCCCCGCCCGCCCGCTTGGCCTACATGCCCACACTAAACGCCTTCACTGTCTGCTACACACCTTCTGCCTCAATGAACGCACAGCCCACCTCCCCCCTTGTAGTTAATTATACAAAGTCGCCTACAAATCCACCAGCCTCACTTCTTGCGGCTGTCAGAAATACCACGACGAATGGATGCGTTGCCACTTCTTGGCTCGATCTCCTCCCTCTTGAAGTCATCAAAAAAATTGTCGACATGCTTGATGAGGTACGCAGCTCTATGTTAATACTTTTAGATTTCGTTAGCCTCTATCTTACCATCTTGAAACATCGTAACTTGACGTTTGAAAGAGTTCCAGGGATGATCCACTTCATTTTCATGCATTCCTATCATTAGCTGTGTCCCAGTTGTTGGAATATGGTTAGTGCCTCTATGATTTGAGAAGATGTCCTCTTTTGCCGAAGTCTATTTATGACTTTTCAGTTGACCTAGTTTTAAAAGCAGCGGTTTCCTTTTCTCAAAGAATGGGAAAACAAAATAAATTTGTTTATATAAGTTGAAGTGGATATCATGACGGAGTTGAAGCACAATTAGTTTCGTAAACCCAAGTGATTGCGCGCTTTGGAAGCCAATCGAATTGACAATTCATGGCATGAGGGATGACGCTTTCGTGTTTCTCTCCACCGCCGCGAAAATATTCGATTAGTTTTCGTTGCAGTGTAAATGAATTGTTTGAATACTATGTGTGTGTGTATGCTCTCCAACTGATCCGCTCTGGGAAATGGGATGAATACGTTGATCTAAATTGAGGTCCGAAAGCATCTGTCAGTTCTCGACAATTAATCACAACATATTCCTGAAACTCAATTTCTTGTCGTTCTTAATGGCTTAAAAAATGATCTGTAGTCCCTCGTGTTGTTTGGGGAATAGGATAAGGAAGTGGTTAATTGCATATTCATGAATCATGAAACTATTGAAAACATTTTACTTCTGAGCGGCTAGTCTGAAGCTTCCAAATTTGGGGAAAGATGTACAGTATGGAGTCACCATGTACAAATAATTCATTCAAGTCTATAAAATAGGAAAATTGGGCGAATGTTCTTAAATTCATTTTATGTGGTCTTCCTTATATACGAAAGGAATATTTTCTCAAAACTTTATATACTCATTTCTGAAATGCAGTTCAGCAATTCTGGAGGTCAATTGTCTGCATATTTTAAGAATTTCTACTTTGCTAGGCAGAAGTGAAGGTTGATGTGTGCGTGTGTGTCCCAAAAGTGTGCTACTAAATTGTTGTCACATAAATGAACTATTTAAAACACCTTCGTGTTTCCTTATGCGCGAAATTAGCACTTTTCAAAAGAAAATAGCATTTTATTCCCTCGGTCTCTGTTGCTGTTAAACGGTTGAATACTTCTCCGAGTGCAAAAATTATCGCTGTTGTCTGCCATTGAGCCCTATTTCAGATTTATCATGATAAATGTAACTCCATTTGGTTTCATTGAGATGCAGGAGGATAAAAATGTGTGAAGGCTCCAGTTCTAGCTGGTCGGGTACTTGAACCCTAGAAACACTGGCTCAAGTGCCACTTAAGTGCGTGTGTGTCCCAAAGTGAAGCAAACCATTTGAGAATGCCCCCTGAGCGCTCTTCATGAAACTTGAGAACATCACAGGATTGATCACCGCAGTGATGTCGAGATGCTTGGGCTTCGGAGATCAGTGATGATCTGGATAAAAAAATTTGAAATGCTTCTATATAGACGGCTTTGCTAACACTCTCTTCTAAAAAGAATTATCATCTTTGGCAATTTTCTCCATCTTCCACCGATGTCTTTTAAGCTGGGGATTCGACTGATATATGTGCCGTATTTCGTTGAAATCGAGTGCCAATCATTTTACTCTTTGCTCTATTAGTTACCGAAACCATATAATAATCCTGAACACAGAGGCTATTTCCGCTTCGGCAGATATTTCTTTTAAATTCTACGAAATTTTAAGTCCAAAATTTGTATTTGAATTTGAAGTTGTGGATGAAAACGCTCCTTGTTAACTATGATCAACCGCAAATTCTATAGTACCCAGTCAAATCATATTAGATACTTCCTTTTCGAATTCATTATCTTATCAACCAAGTTAACAACGTCATTATCCTAATCATAAAATCAACGATTTTCAGGAGGCCTAGACTCGGAGAAATAGAAATAAAACTGCAACGAGTAAGAGAAAAGGATAAATAAATTAGTGAGGATAATCCAAGGCGACTTTTCACATGGGTAGGAAGTAAATGGATAGGAAGAGAAAGGAACTAACGAAAGAAATTGGCTATAGGAGTTGACCGACAGTGGTTTGACAGACGCTAGTGGAATAGATTCGTGTTTAAATCATCAACGAGCAACTAGATGAGGTAAGTCCAGGGTTATGGTGGGAGGAGAGTGGGTTAAACTCGGGTATTTACAAATTTAATCGGTTGCAGCTCAAAATTATTGAAAGAAAATTTGAATTCTAATGAATAGTAAGAAGTAAACAATTTATCATTGGAGAGTTGATAATGGGTGGTATTATTTTTTGAGATTCATACGAATTTTTACAAGACTTTCATAAACATGGGATAAAATATTATCAATTCATATTATTTTATCAAACTTTAAATCGTCTGGAAACGCTAACAACGACCCTGACATAATCAGTCATAAATAATTACCGACAGATTATTCGGACAAAACATAAATTATGCGTGTTAAATATGAATTTGTAAATTCTATCAATTGTAAAACTTGCAAAGAATGATAAAAAAGGAACGAGTGGTTACAAGAGATTAGAAAGTAGAAGAAATGCGATTGGAAATGTGCAGTTATGTGTCTTCCTATGCAATGATAAAAATAAAGCTTAACACGTTTATATGTGTCGATTGTAGGTGAGCCTAATGAACCTCTTTCGAGTTTCTCCGTTTCTTGGTGAAGTATGTCGACGCACACTACTCACAAGGGGAATAGTAAGCCCCATGTGGCAACGGTACAAGGGAGCTCTTGGAGTGAGTAGATGGCGTATTCATGGCTTTGTTTGGAGTCTTCCTCGCTGTGGGGAGCCCGTGCACCATTGGCATATTACTGACTTCCCCGCCCCTCTCGGGACACAACTCACTCTTCACCTGAAGAACGACTGTGCCTTCTATGAGGCTCTCCGTGCCCATCAACCCTTCTGTCTATACAATCCCGCCGAGGAAAAGCCACCCTTTCTTTCGGAAGACGAACGACAGCCAGAGTACATTTAAAACCTACTCATATATCTTATGTTTCATTTGTGATATATTAAACTAACTACACAGACTCATACATGTTTTCGCTTAAATTTCATCCCAAATTGTTTTATGCGTAGCTTTTTAAGCACATAGGGAGGAATTATTCCATTTCTTGCAATATGGTTAATATGTGGATTTTAGCCAGTTAACGTGGCCTATTCAAACATAAATTTTATTTTAAGAAACTAAAACGAGCTTAAGGTTAGTGGAGTTCGCGCTAATTGTAAAATAAATATGTAATTAACCTAAAAATTAGAGATAAGAAAACACAATCTCATGCTCGCCAATACATAATGGAATTTGCGGTCTTAATATTGATCGTGTTAGGGAACAGATGAGGCCACGGGTGCCGAAACCCATCAATCAATAATCCTTACAGAGCAAAGGTATTCAAAATCATATTTAATAATTAAGCTTTCCTGAAAACATACCACATAATTATAACAGCCTTAATAGATGCAATTACGCTACATCATTGAGGCAACTTACCTAATTTGGGAAGCTATTTCATGCTAAGGTATTTTGCCAGGTAGACCATTGAGTTTCATCAATTTTCCGTGTTCCAATACACCTCAACCACAGACATGGGAGACTAGTTAATTTTTTATAGTCAGATTAATTAATTTTAGCGAAACAATGGACCATGCAAATTGAGATATCGATTTTTGACCGATAAGATAAGTTCATATATATGTATAAATGCCTAAACTGTAAAAAATAAACCCTCATTGTATAAAACTGTACCACTAGTAATTAATATAAATGGGAAGATATTTAGTTCCTGAAATATGGTCATGTGTAGTACGAAATCTAACATTAGTGAACCGATCACTCTCATCACATTCCATCATTATGGAAGAAACAACCCCATCTGTAGAAGACGCTCAGCTAATTAGCCATTAATATTCCAATATCATTTAAAATGTATTTGGTTATTATTCATGTGTATAATTACAGCAAACGCACTCTAGCTATACGTCTATTTTTCCTACAACAATGAAGAAGCTTGTCTAGTTTTGAGAGAATTTCTATACTTACATATATGGTCATGAAGATTATTTACAATATTTCAAGGCACATTTGATAGGCAATCCGTTATAGATTTTCCCACAAAATTTAATTTTAAACAATAAAATTCGAAAAGAAATTTGTAAAATCATTAAAAATAGATTGTTTATAATTAAAAATTAAATATAATTAGATGAGATATTTTGCTACCATTTGAAACTTTTTTGAAAACTCAACTAACAGCAAAATTGTTTTAATCGTCTACTAGAAGGTTATTCAAGTAGGCCTAAGTGGTCACTCTCTGGTATGTGTGTTGGTTCGACCATGTATTAATTGTTATTATTTTTGTTGTTGTTATTTTACAGATATAAGTTTTCACGTTTTTCTTAATGCATCTAATGCTTTAATAGGCTTTTCCAACCATCACATGGCCGACTTATCTGATTTGTTTAATGAATCCAGGGAAATACATCGCCAACTTCATAAATTCCTTGAAAGCTTACCTAAAACAACTGATGAAATCTTTGCGCGGGCCTGCATGACTTCATTGGAAACAAATACTTCTGATTTCTATGAAATTATTGAGTATGTTAGAGAAAGATTAAATGTAGGTCTTTGGCGTGACGTTCCCGCTTTTTGGCGTGAGGCTTATGCTCTTTTGCGTTTAGCTTCCGTTGTTTCAATTTTGCATTCTACTCAGGTCGGTGGGATCTGCGATATGAAATTTGTTATGTGGCAGCTTGATGACGCTCTCATCATGGGTCATTCAGACGAAATTCATCAAATTTTAACCCGTTTTGCAACATTAGCGAACGCATTCTTGTTTAAATCCTTTCCATCCGAAGCCTTTCCAAATAAATATTCTGATATCAATACGCCATCTCCAGAGCTGTCATCGCTAACTTTTTCCGGGGAGATTATTTCTGAATTGAAACGTGTTCATCGGCCATCTCTTGAGGAGTTTACAGAGATCCTCAAACAAGGAATACCTGTCATTGTGACAGGTGCAATGGACCACTGGCCAGCATGCAATGAGTCTTCTGATCGATATTGGTCTCCAGCCTATTGGTCTAAAATTGCTGGCCACCGTACTGTTCCAATCGAAGTCGGCTCAGCCTACACCGACGAATCCTGGGGTCAGTGTCTATTAACTATTAATGAGTTCTTTAAAACTTTCATTCTTCATCATAAGGATGACCAAAAGCCAGGTTATCTCGCTCAACACCAAATTCTCCTTCAAATACCGGAACTTGGTGATGATGTTGATATTCCTGATTACTGTTTTACTGGAGCACCTGAAGACGATTCTTCGGAAACTATAATTGATAGCAATATTTGGGTTGGCCCTCGTAACACCATTTCACCACTTCATCATGACAGCGATCGATCCAACGTCCTCTGCCAGTTGATTGGCAAAAAATATGTTAAGTTATACACTGCGAATCAAACAGAGTTAATTTATCCTCATATGGAAAATTCCATGCTCAAAAACACCTCCCAAATAGATGTTGCTAGTTTACATCCCGATTTCAGCAAATTTCCAAAATTCAAAAATGCTCGTGGTTACCACGGTGTGTTAGCTGCAGGAGAAATGCTCTTCATTCCTCCTCGGGCTTGGCATTACGTTCGCTCGTTGACAACCAGCATTTCAATGAACTTTTGGTGGTCTGTTGATGCTTCCTTCATCCCCCTTTGGCCCGAATTCTACAACGTATAAGATTGGCTCATATTTTTTGTATTATTTTTACAATACATGTTCTTTTTGTACAAGACTTCTGCTTTTGGTTGATTGAGTGGGTTTTTCAATGTCTTTTCTTTCTGCTTTGCTATGGATGTATTGGCTTTTTTTTATCTTAGATGTCTTCATCAAAGTCGAGGGATGAAAAAGAATTTGATCTTGAACAGCAGTTTATTCTTCGTATGCCTGAGGATGCTGCCCGGTATCTCGCCGAAGACATTGATCTTGGAGTTGCCTTTAGAGTAAGCCACTCATCTCCAATTTTGCTCAAAATCAATCAATATTATAGATTCTATTACATTTAACTTTGTTAGCTTGACGGTATGGTTTACTTTAATTTAGTGATTCTTATTAGGAAGCCTTGTTGAATGTCCATGATTTACTCGAGCAAACTATTCACTTCAGTACCCGGGCAGTGGATTATCGATTATAGTATTGCTGATCTCACACCTAGATACGTAAGACCATTAGAGAAGCAATCAATGTCTCTCGATCCAACTCTAAAAACTGATTTAATTCCTTTTAGAACAAGAAAGGCTAATTAGTGGTTATGAGAAGTAAATAACTTGTCTTAAGTACTATCGATTTGATTGTAATGTCGCAGATGACTCAAGTTAATTGTTTATGCACAGTTAAAGTGGCAGCTCTCCTCTTGTTTTTGTGTGTAGGACAACTTTACATTGGAGTTAAAGCAGGATCATCGGCATTGCATAGTTCGCTACAATGGGCAGGTGTACCAAGGTCGAATAATGGATCTTCCGTGCATTATCGAGTCACAGAAGACGACGGACAGGAAGAACTTCTATCAAACAGCCAGCATCTCTCAGATAATAATATGCACTCAGGGTGATGATGGCATCGCTCCCATTCGCGGCTCCGCTGCCTACGTCCCCCCTAAAGATTCGGCATGTGGGGGGGCCTCTACACAACCACCCTCCGTGCCTACTGTCAATGAGTCAGTTCCTTTTTCTTTCTTTTTTTAAAAAAATGCTTATATGTATAGTGACTGACTAGATATTGTTGGTTTCCTATCAGAGATCAATGGAATTGAGTTTTTTGCTTACAAAAAAAAACAATGAGCATTATTGTGTCATGTTAGAAAAACAAACGATGATCTGTCTGAGGTAGCGAATTTGTATCAACTTTGCTCTGCAAGATGATCTCACTTCAGATCAATATTTTTGGTGTAATGACTTTGTTCTCTCTCTCATCTTGTTTGCTATTGCCTCCTGACATGTAGGAAGGATCCGCGGATGTATCAATATCTTCACGGCATTACTCCTCCTCTCAAGAACGCTCTTCGACGTCGTTTCAGAAAGACTCGCAAGAAGAAAGCCGTAGATTTGAGTCAAGTCGAACAGGAAGTCAAAAATATGCTGAAAAATGACCTCCGTGCTGATGATGTCACGTAAGTTCACATTTATTAAACTTTTAATGAAACATCACTATGGAATACTTTTTCCTTGTCTAATTACAGTATCATATGTTTGTAGCCAATATATGATTGTTCAATTTTTTAAAATCTGCCTTTTGCAGTTTCGTTTGAACAAGTGCAGTGAAGCAAGTCAATTACTTCAACCACCTTCATCCAGTTTATTCTCAGTTATTACTGTAAGAATTTTGCGACATACTAATCGAGCAAGCGGGAAGCATAAAGTATGAATTTCCTCCATGAACATGCGTCAAAAATGAATAATTAACGTTGACAACGTGGACGAAAACGTGTTAGTATTCGTTATTTCATCTACTTCCATCCTAAGACGGAAGTTTGGAGGTTGGTGTGTAGCTTCCTTCGTGGTATTTAGTAATTACAAGCCAATTAGCAATTTAGGCGACTTCGGTTTAAAATAACGCTTTCTATGTAGACGAAGGATTAATTCACATCGCTTTAGTCATAAGGCATTCATTGTTGAGCATTTCGGAATGCTACTTTTAATTAAAGTTCGACTGTAAAGGCGCAGATATTGTCTGCATATTGGAAGTAGCCCCGCAACATTGTTGATTTAAACTGAACCACTTTCAGTCACTTTCCCCTATGGGAGAAATTTTGTGCTTTAGTGTGGGTTGACTTCTTTACTTCTTAGCTCTCATTCCCATCTTCCCAACGCTTTCCTCGTGTGTGCTTTCCTATTTTCCTGTCTTACTATCAACGCTCTATTTACGTTACGCTTAATACATAGTTGTCAAAAGTGGAAGTACTTTTGTCTGCGTTTGCGTAATTCGACGCTCCTCATAACAGTTCCCCCATTTGACAAATCGTGTGGTGGCGTCACTGGCATTTATGAACTCAGAGGGGGTGTGAGGGAGGGGGAAATTTTTGTCTGGTTTATTTGACCTTTTAAATGGAGGAAGCGAAGTCACCATCAGCAGGGCAAATATTTGCATGATTTTAATAGCTTCATTACAAAATGTACGTTTCACTAATACTATTATTCACATGTGGTGGTGTTTGTGGTGCGATAAGTCTTAGGCCATGGGGTAAATATCCATCAATGCACAACCCAACCGCTCTGATTGAATCAGCTTGTCAACAAAGATATAAGAATTTGGGTTTCCTACCAGACTAATTCAATGACGCCAGAATGAGCATTGGGAAGAGCTTTTCTAATTGGGTTTTGCAAGTATAGAAGTATCCAGCTAACTAATCCCCCCCCCCAGAACTTTATCATATGTGGACATTCGGGGTAAATTTTACAGTCTCATTAGTAACAAAGGGTAAAAGCAGTTATTAACTATAAAATTCAATTAATTTAAAGCGATACTTCAATCGGGGAATTTTACGTAAAGAATGGCCGACATTGTCGTCTACCGCGGTCTCACCCGATCCGCCCCTTCCCCTCCCTAGAAATTGGAGCACACCGGGAAGTCCTCAAGATTTGTTTTCATCCTCTCCCAATGGCAAGGGAATCTTGATAGTCTGTCTGAGTTTGGTTTTAAATCTCAATGTCTTGTTAATTGCTTAAATGCTTTGAGTTACTTCCTTCCAAATGGCAAGGCAAGGAATTGAATCCGACTAACGGTCTATAAGTCAATCGGTAAGGGAGGAGAGGAGAGGAGAAGTGGATTGGAAGACACGCCACAACTGTCTATGTGACTAACTAATTATGAACAAGCGTGAAGCAGAGTCAGTTATTTTACTTTTCATTCTGTCTTCAGCTGGGAGATTTCATGGGTTGATACATCTTCTGAGCAACACCCGCAGACAACGATGCAGTCAACCGCAGGAGCTGGAGGTGGATTTGAGGTTGATTCTGGAGACGCTGTTCAAGAGGAGGGCTCCAGATTGAAATCCTCTATTTCCAGTCCCACTTTGGACTTGAGTCCTGCACTCGTCAGTGGTGGCCGTAAGTCCCTTCGCCTTTCCATATTTCTTTTTGTATTTCCAATCGATGCTTTTGCGCCTATTCCTATTCGTTTGTTTCTGCTCCGTCATTGCGCCTTGGCACATCTTGAACGTAACCACAACGTTCTTAGTATTATTCAGCTGAATCAAGTCAGTTTACAATGTTTCACTCATTTCCACGATTTGATGGTGGAAAGTGTTTAGAATAAAAGTGGAACTAATCCTCAACCATAACTATCACTAGAGTCCCACCCTTTGCGGGCACTCACCAAAAACAAACAACATAAACTACGAAAAACATCATTCCGAGTTCAGGCGAATATCCACAATCAGTTTTGTCTCCAACGCGGCTTCTCGTTCATTGTAATGCTGCTGGGCAGCTCAGCGTGTAAACACTCTGCCTACTCTTATTTAGTTGCTATTATTGCGAGAGAGAGAGAGAGAGTCATTTTAGAAGCCGTAGAAAGCTCTACTTGTAGGACATTTTTAAAGTGTATTCTCATCAGAATCAATGAGCTCTCTGACTTGTGTCTTTTTGTGTTCTAGAAGATGGTCGCCGTCACCACGTGGCTACTGATGAGCTCTTTGGAGCGGTGAGCAGCAGCAGCAGTAGCAGCAATTCGAGTTCAATCAATTCTAGCAGCGCTGCGGAGGAGGAGGAGGAGGAGACTGATGTCGAAGAAAGCGAGGGGGTAGACGTTGCCAAAGAGAATTCTGCTCTTTCCTCTGCCGCTCTCTTTCATGACGCTCATTTACAAATGGAGACGGCTGATATCAGTGAAATGGATGATGATGTTAGTCGAATCCCTCTTAATTCTCCTATTTTTATTGAATTGCAATGACGAGAAGAGTGTTTGGGTCGAGCCATGACGACACCAGTATTCCCAGTGTGTTGTGGGAACGTCAGCTTGAGTTGATTACACCTGGCTTGACTTTGTGTAAGCTCAACAGGTTCCAAGACAGGCAACTAGTGTTGTGGTTTAATTCATTGCCAGTTAATCAGAGCAACTCTAGCCTAAAGTAATTTTTGCTGATTATTAAAAATTAACTTACTAGTGTCTCTTCATATTTTACTCCTTTTGAAAGGTACTGCGACTCATTAATTTGCTCTTGTCTGATTTACATGAGCTGGGCTGAGAGTTAGGGTCATGTCTTATTTCTCTAGAGCTTCACTATTCTGAGTCGGATATTGAATGTATCCACAGTAAACCTTTGACCTGTTTCACCATTTGTTGCAATTTCTCTCTCTTTTCTAACATCATCAGTACGAAAAAGTTGCGGAAGGCGCCGAGGATGAGCAGATGAAAACGGCCCTTCTCCTCTCAGACTCCGAATCGTCCGCCGGCGATGACGAATCTGATGATTATCCTGGCATGGAAAACGCCCTCACTCCCCAGGAAATTGCCGACCGTTATCAGCGACAACTTCAGGCACAGCAGGAGGCCAATGGTGAGTAGTATTTCCTTTCAATGTTGTTTAAGTTCCCCCCTCTTAATATAACTACGATTTATCATCACTAACCTCGACGTAGAGTATAATCACCTGTTTGAAACCCTCATTTGGTGCAATGAGAGAACTCAGAGGGAATGGAGATATTGGGAGGCTCATAGCCTGTCAATTGACTGAATATGGGCATATGATATAGGCATAAGCAAAGCTTATATTGTCTTGATTTTGGACCGTGGTATGGACGGTTTCTCCAGACATTTCTGCTGATTTCTTGGGTTAGGGTTAGGGGAACTTTTTAGGGAATTCGGTGTTTAGGTTAAATGGAGGTGAGAGAGAATGCAAGGGGAGTGCGCGTGTAGTTGTGGAGAGAAGACAAGTCATTAGAATCAGACTGCGATTTCGTGTGTGCTAACAACTTCGTGTCCTGCATTTCCGGGTAAGTTGACATATCTTGATGTGTTACGTGTGGGACAGTGTGTCATGTGGTGGGCAATATTTGCAAGGAAAATAGAGGTGAATGTTCGCGTTAATGCGTTAATGCTTAAAACTGAAGTAAATATTTAGCTAGATGTTTGAAGCAAAGTTTGTGAGGAATTAGTTCTAAAAGTTTAAATTAGGTCGGTCAGTGCTGTATGTATTTTGCCAGAATCAGATTACCTTTTCATTTCCATCGATGTTTATTAATGGCAATTGGACGCCCTTCTTTACTTTCGGGTTTGCCTTTCCAAGACAAGGCGGCCAATTTGTTGCGATTGTTTTTGAACCATTGATTTTTGCCGGTGAAACATTTTGATAAACTGCCTGTTTCAGCGCCGAATGTTTGAGTAGTTCTACCGGTTAGAAGT